AGAAACAGGTTTGTAGGTTAAAATATTCTGAGCCAGATATGTGGTTACGTATTCAAAGAGAAATCACTCATCTGTGATACTGGCTTTTCTGATCAGAAGTCTGACCCTGAAGCTTTAGCATAGGATATGGATAGAATGTATTAGTTGCATAAAGGTTAGCAGTAATATTAGAACATAGAACAATTAGTTGTATAAAGGATAGCAGCAAAACCTGTGAATCTTGGAGTTATCTCTAGTTAGAATATCTCTTCTTTACATGCTACTGGGAAGCAATTCTTAGAGTGAATTTAATTAAAAGTCCAAAATGGTGACTTGTGGCATGATTGTCATGAACTTGTATGTGTCATCCTGTATTTGTGTGTCATGTGCTGTCCTGTCGGTCTGTGGCCCCACTTCCAGTAACAGCTGTGCAGTGAATAATCTACAGTGATTACAACCAGAAAACCTGCAGGTTGATTGACAAGCTCATCCCACTTTGCAATTCCTGAAGCCTGAAAGATTGCTTCAGTGCACTGAAATGCACTCGCAAGCATTTTATTGGCATCAGCAGGACTTAAACATAAACCCGAGTACGTTCCTGTATTTCAGACTAGGAAGATAGCTTTTAATTGCATATAAGGTTGTTTGATCCTTTTAGTTTCTGAACTATTGGCCCCACTCCAGTTTCTGGGGGAAGCTCATCTGCACTGATGGGTTCAGCAAAGCTCAGACCTGCTCACTATATGTTGGAGCATCGAGGCCAGACTTATGTGCCATCCAAAACACACCTGTAATGCTGGCATTTGAGATGTAGGCTCCCATGGATGAAGTTCCTTTTCAATCCTTGACTGTGATTGCTTTTTAAATTAACTAGCCAAGATAGGTTGCTTCTCTTACTTTTTCTCATTTCACTTAACGTTTTTACTCTGACTGCATCCCTCTGACCTGAAACAGCTCTTTTCTGAAGAAATCTGGGTGGTTTTGAACAGATGTGGAGACATGACAGAGTTCATTTAGAACATAATCAACAGATAATAATAGGGTACTCAGAGAAATTGCAGTGAATGACAAGTACCATCAGCCTTTTCAAAACAGCGAAATTAGACATTTTTAACTCCACATGCACAACAGTGCTAGAAGAAGCAGGAAATGGCTAATTTGGAATCCTTTTATTATGTTTTAGTTTTTAAAAAATGATATTGTAACATTCTCAAGCATTATCCTGATCCTTGTCTGCTCATTGTCTCTACAGGAGATAAAATACCGCTCTATGCGTTATTTGAAGCAGACTGGTTCTCTTGCATACTTAGTTGTATCCTTCATCTTCCTCCCTGAGGCTTGGCAGCATTCAGCTTGTCAGGATGAGGCCCCAGCATCCCTCATGCATGATTTGTGGTTTTCATTCCATCTGTTCTATGAAACATAATCCTCAGACTTCTACAATGTGGTAGCTAATTGGAGTACTCAGGAAGGTTTGGGTTATTGTCATTGCCTGTGTCTGGTTTTGCAACGCTGTAGAGAAGACTGAGCTGGGTTTTGTCTCCAGGAGGAGTTTCTTGTGGTGATGGGAGAGAGAACCCCAGGCTTCCAACCAGGATGGTTCCCCCCTAGAGACGTTTAGGCCAGGAAGGCCATGAGTGCCTGGTTCAGGGGTTGAAGCCCTGTGAAGACCGTCCCTTTGCACCCCAAGACGCAGTGTCTGTCTGTCTCCTGATAGTCACCAGGAGTCCTCGGGGCTCTGATCTTCAGAACCTTGGTGTAATAAAAAGTAACTTGAAATGTGTCCTGGTTCT